AATATAATAAAAAAAATGGAAAATTGAACTTATGCATATTACGAACAATACCATAAACATACATAGCGAATGAAAATATTGATTAAAAGAAAAAAGAGTGCATCCCTAGTTTTGACCATCAGCACTTTGATAGTGCGCGGCGTCTTGTTGTCGGCGTCATGAAAGGTCGGATACTGACCTGTCAAAGAAATTGTGCAGCTATTCGAAAGTACAAGGTCAAGGTGCCGGCGGGTACTATTGATATCGCATACAATCGTCGCCGCCGCGCCGCACGCATATATTACTGTACTCTTTGGCCGCACGCACTACATTTGACACTGTTTGATTGCCGCCACAGAGTACATGTTCCAAAGAATAAAATAAGTTTACGGGTGCTCAGATTGGACGCGAATACGTTATGCTGATCTCGCAAGGAATATTGTAATTAGATAATGGTAAGGATAGGTAGGTATCATAAAAATTCATTCTAGTAAGTAATTATTATAACATTAACTATATGGGTTTATAATAATTACTTACTATTATTATTATTATTACCTAATAGATAAAGATGTTCAATAAGTTCACTGCAACTCTCGACTTTAGGAAGTGTGTGTTTTTAAAACACAAAGTGCTCGAATATATCGTCACCCATTTAATAAATATTGTAGACACTTTTAAAACACTTGAAATGTGTAAAAATGGATCTGGATCTTGTCTTCAAGGCTTAGTTATTAACGAGTTGGAGGAGTACCTAAGTAAATCCAGAGCCGCCAGCTCGGAAAACATTTTAGAGTGGTGGAGGACGCATGAGACAAAATATCCGATTTTATCGAAGATGGCCCTTGATTTTCTTTCAATACCTGCAACTTCAGTACCTGAGAGATTTAGAGAGATTATTTTCTAAAGCGTCATTAGTAATTACAAAACATAGAAATAGGTTAAGTGATGAGTCAGCCAGATGGTTACTTTGTATTAATGCTTGGTCAAAAGAATTAATATAAAGTAACATTAACGTCAAAGCTATTGTGTACTGTGAAGTAATTTAATTTAATAATAATAATAATAATAAATCTTTATTGACATTTTTATAGTCTACATACTTTTTACAAATATATGCAATACATCAAGAGGACTAATTTGAAAATAGGTAGAATCCTGAGTCTCCTAGCTAGGTTACTTAGTAACCTGTATTTAGGAGATACAGACCTATCCCCCCTTTTGATTAGGAATACATAGTTGTATTGTTTAAATTTTTGCATGTAAAGAAATAAAATCATAAAAAGACAATAAACTGATCTCTGAGTGTGAGTGTGTGTGTGTGTGTGTGTGTGTGTTGTGTTGTGTTGTGTGTGTGTGTGTGTGTGTGTGTGTGTGTGTGTGTGTGTGTGTGTGTGTGTGTGTGTGTGTTTGTGTGTGTGCTCGTGCGTGCTGTTATATCCCTTTTTACAACGCAGTTAAATCTTAGTAAGCATTTATTCAATCCCACGGTACTTTTCCTATATATGACGTCAATCAGTAATTGCATTGTTCTTTTCCATATTAATTTCATTCCATTTTACTGTCAGTTAGATTCAGAGCCCCGGGTAGATCGGACATAGATTCCGATACGTATTAGAGTTCGGAAGTCAGGGTTAATATTAATTGTGTGTGTAAACTTTTTGTAATAAACCCTTAGGTTTACCTTGTGGTTTTTTTTTAAAAAGTCAAACGGGATCGGCCTCCTAACAAATTGGTGTCAGAAGTGGGATGCCAAACAGAAAGTCATTGAAGACATTGGCATCCGAATCCGAGGTCCCCGAAATCATCAAGGTCGACATTAAGCCTTAGCCGTGCCTAAGCCTGCACCTACCACAATTTTGGACGACGATCAGCCTCCGCTCTGAAACGTGAGCCCGCTCCACTTACACCTGGTCCTGAAATCTCCCGTCTGGCCGACGATAAGTCTCCACCAGGAGCCCGCACCAGCTGGATCTAACTCACCAACAAAAAATTATTTCAAGAACTTTCTACGCCTTCCGGTCCTGCTATTTCCCACGACGTGACGGAGTCACCGCGTCAGCGATCTCGCCTGCCAGCCGCCACGAGTGTAACGTTTCACCTAGCTATTGTTACGACTCTTAAATGCTACGTGTAGAAATTATTACCATTCTGTAAGTCATTTTGTATTCTGTTTAAATTTAAAATTTACTTTTATTTTACACTGTTTCTGTACTATTACCAATCTTTTACGTTGTTTTATTGTGATTATTTTATATAAGTTTAATATTTAAAATTTAATTCTATGTCGCTTAAAGCAGAAAAAGGTAAAGAAAATATGTCGGAAAGAATCACGCTTTCATTCTTGACGAAATTTATAAAATCCTATAATGGGGAGAAAGATTCCCTACCCGCTTTTCTTACAAACTGCGACAATGCAATGTCGTTAGCTACACCAGAACAACAGCCTATTCTGTGCAAATTCATCATCTCACAACTAGAGGGAAAAGTACAAGTTGCATGTAGTTTAAAAACCTTTGAAACATGGAATCAAATAAAATCATTTCTCCGTTCTACTTTTGGGGAGAAAAAACACGCGACACATTTACTATCAGACTTGTAAAACTGTAAATAGTCATCCGAGGACGTCACTAAGTTTTCTTTAAAATTAGAACAAATTTTAACAAAAATTCAATCAGATATACACTATAGTTGCAAAAACGCTGATGAGCTTCCAGGTAGAATAGCCGCCATGGAGGATCTAGCATTAAATACATTTTTGTTAGGGTTAAATCCTGCTATTTCTACTATTGTTAGATGTAGGAACCCTCAAACTCTAAATGAAGCTGTTCAATTAGCGATAGAAGAGGAAAAATTACAAAATCTCCAAACGTGTTCAAAAAATTCAATAAAACAGTGTAGTATATGTAATAAAGTAGGCCATGTTGCTATTCAATGTTTTAAAAATAAAAAACATTCTAATTATAATCATAATAAACAGGCGTGTCACTTTGTAAAAATCTGAGGTATGGAAAATGGTGGCGCGATTTTCAAATTTGTTCGCATTACTCGTGGGGTATTAAGGTTTAAGAGTTTGCAGTGTATATACTCAACTTATTTATTGAACTATAAGATTTGGGGTATTGAGGTTTAAGGGCTTGCGATTTATTTATATGGGGTTTGTAGTAATATGCGATTTATTTCCTAATTTCAGCTATGGAATTCCATACCTTGAAAAACTTGAGGTATGGAGTGCTCCATACCTTCCATAGTGGAAGTGATACCCCTGATAATAAACAAATTTCGCATTTATCTAGTTCTAATTCTGGTAAATTAATGTGTAATTATTGCAGAAACATAGGGCACACTATTGATCAATGTAGAAAGCGACAATATAATATGCAACAACGTCAAAATTTTAATCATAACTCTAATACTAATTCTAATTATATAAATCGTAGCCCAAATAATAATTCTAATTTTATAAGTCGTAACCCTATTTCCAATTCTAGTTCCAACTCTGTGCCTATGCACATGACATATGATAACGACGACGCTGTCGATAACTCTAACTCTTTAAACTGAATAAGATTTCGGATGCGTGTCTGCCGAAATCGTACTATCGTAACGACACGAAAACAATTAATACTACTTTTTCTACTAAATCTTATAAAAATCCTTATGCTAAATCTTATTCTAATTCTTATTCTAACTCATCTCGGCAATGCTTTAGCAAGCAACCGAGTCATTCTAGCTCATTTACATCTCAGTTACCCAAAGAGGAACTGAGTCATTATAAGTCTATTACATCTCAGCAACCCAAAGAGGTGAAGCTGAGTCTTGCTAGTTCTTTCGCATCTCAGTTGACCAAAAAGGTACAACCGAGTCCTACTAAATCGTTTACTATATCTACATCTCAGCAACCCAAAGAGGTGAAGCTGAGTCTTGCTAGTTCTTATGCATCTCAGTTGACCAAAAAGGTACAACCGAGTCCTACTAAATCGTTTACTATATCTTCATCTCAGCAACCCAAAGAGGTTAAGCCGAGTCTTAATGAATCTTATTCTAATTCTATTCCTATCTTTGAAACGAGCATAAATACATGCAAGGTTTCGTTACCATATACAAATCTATTTACAAAATATTCTTCTAAGTGTCTCAAACTTCTTATCGATACCGGCGCGAGTGTCTGTGTCATTAAACACTCATGTTTAAAAATGAAACATGAGCTTCTTAAGGACAAAATAAGAATCAAAGGTATAAATGATACGGATACATATTGCGAAACGCTAGGCTCAATCTACTTACAATTTTTATTAAGTGATGAAACTTACGAGTATAAATTCTACGTTATTAACGATAATATAAATCTTAATTACGACGGTATTATTGGTACAGATTTTCTTAAATATTTTAATGCTAATATAGATTTTAGCTCTAAGATAATGACTCTGTGTGGTTACCAAGTTCCCATTATATTTCATCAGCCAACATACATCGTTCCGGCACGCTCAGAAGCCGTCATTGAATGCGCTATATCAAATTACTCGGTCGAGCTTTATCACAATAATGAAGGCTTAGTTCTAGATCATACCTTAAGCGAGGGTATTTACGTCGCGAATTGTATTGTGTCAATAAAACCAAACAAAAAAGTTAACATCACCGTTTTAAACACGACTGACACAGACTTAGAAATTAAAGATTATTTCGTAGAATTGACACCGATCGATTATAATAATTCTATTTCCTGCAAAAATCCTATATCTAGTAAATGTTTGTATTCTATTTCTACTTCTAAATCTAATCGAATAGATCGAGTATTAAGTCTTTTACGCTGCTCCCATCTCAACGATGAAGAAAAGAAAGCACTTTTAAATTGCTTTTCCGATTATACGGATATCTTTCACCTCGAAGGTGAACCCCTTTCGTTTACGAATGGCATCCAACATTCCATAGATACGGGTAACGCGGCCCCAGTTCACGTAAAATCATATCGCTTCCCTGAGTGTCATAAGGAAGAAGTCGATACACAAATTCGCAAAATGCTAAATCAAAACATAATCCGTCCCTCTGTTTCGCCTTGGAGCGCCCCTGTATGGGTAGTCCCGAAAAAATTAGACGCTTCTGGCAAAAGAAAGTGGAGAATAGTCATTGACTATCGCCGTCTTAATGATATCACAGTTTCTGAAAGTTATCCCCTGCCTCTTATCACTGATATCCTAGACCAATTAGGCCATTCCAAGTATTTCACAACCCTTGATCTTGCTAGCGGTTTCCACCAAATAAAGATGGATCCTAAAGATGCCCCAAAAACGGGATTTACTATAAGTACTAATTCGAGCATGTCTGGTCACTACGAATTCACTAGAATGCCCTTTGGTTTAAAAAACGCTCCTTCTACCTTCCAGCGCCTGATGAATACTGTCTTATCAGGTTTGCAAGGTCTACACTGTTATGTTTATCTAGATGATTGCATAATTTATAGTCATAATTTAAATGAACATATGGAAAAATTAAAACTAGTATTCAATAAGCTGCGCGAATACAATCTAAAATTGCAACCAGATAAGTGCGAATTTTTAAGACGTGAAGTAACTTATCTTGGTCATATTATCACCGATAAGGGTGTCTCTCCTAATCCAGAAAAAGTAAAAGCAGTGTCACAATTTCCAATTCCTAAGAGCCCTAAAGAAATTAAATCCTTCCTAGGCCTAATAGGTTATTATCGCCGATTTATTGATAATTTTTCTAAATTGACAAAACCACTTACTTCTTTATCAAAAAGGGATACTACTTTCCACTGGTCTCAAGAACAACAAATTGCTTTCGATGTTTTAAAAGAAAAATTAATCACTGCTCCGCTGCTCCAATATCCAGACTTCTCTCAACCGTTCATAGTAACTACAGATGCAAGTAATTATGCCGTAGGTGCAATCTTATCCCAAGGTCCTGTAGGCAAAGATAAACCGATAGCTTATGCATCACGTACTCTAAACCGTCCCGAAGGCAATTATTCAACTACCGAAAAGGAACTTCTAGCCATTCTATTCGCAGTCAAAACGTTTCGTCCTTACCTCTACGGTAATAAATTCAAAATAGTTACCGATCATAGACCATTGGTATGGCTATTCAATGTCAAAGACCCAGGTAGTAGACTCATTCGTTGGCGCTTAAAACTCGAAGAATACGATTACGAAATTGTTTATAAACAAGGCCGTCTTAATTCTAACGCCGATGCGTTATCTCGCTGTCCCGTTAATGATATTAATAGATATTAACACTTTAAATAATTCTAGTTATGAAAAATATTTTAAGGACCAATTTACAAATAAAACTCCTATTTCAAATACAATAATCTTGGAATGTACTCAAGGATTACACCTATCCAAACTAAAAACTATTGCGTGTCCCGTCTCTTTAGATTTTGACTCATCTATACCTCACTGTGAAGAAATATTAGCACAATTAGACAAGCCTGAGGACTTATTAAATTCCGAACGCGAACCATTTACAATTCAATGCGTAAAGGATAAGAATAAATCTTACTATTTTATGTACACTAAAATTCATCATTATGAAGAAACCAAATTTAAAGATATTTACAATTTAATTATAAAACTCAGAGACAAAATTTTAATCGAGAACCCTGATATTACAGATCTCGCCTTATCAGACTTTTCAGATCCATTTTCTAAGCTAGCTTATATTAAAGTATATAATATGATTGCCTATATTTTTCATAACACTAACATTAAAATTCATATATACAAATATCAATTAATTTATCCTACTCCCGTCGAAATCCCCAAAAATTTTAAAAGAGAATCACGATTCACCTATTGCGGGTCACCCAGGTTCAAGTCGTGTGTATAGACGAATTAAAGCCGCCTATTATTGGAAAAGTATGCGCTCTGACATTGTAGATTATGTAAAGAAATGCCAATTATGCCAAATTAATAAACCATTAAGAATGTCCAATAAGGCCCCAATGGAAATAACTTCTACTTCCACTAGACCGTTTGAACGATTAGCTCTCGACATCGTTGGTCCTTTACCTGACGCAGGTTTTCAAAAATTCAAATTTATCCTTACATTACAAGATGATTTAACTAAATTTTCAAGTGCTTATCCCCTGGTCACCTGGCTACCAGTGAAGAAATAGCCAGAAATATTGTACATTTTATGTCTCTCTTCGGTTTCCCTAAAACAATCTTAACGGATTTAGGTACTTGTTTTACGTCTGATTTATTTAAAGAATTAACTCAAATCTTAAAAGTCAAGGCTTTATTTACTACTCCTTACCACCCACAAACAAATGGAGCTCTAGAACGCTCACATGCTACTTTAAAAGAATACTTAAAATCTTTTGTTAACGAAAACCAAAACGACTGGCATTGTTATTTATTTACCGCAATATTAGCTTATAATACTACCCCTCATTGCACTACCAATTTCCCCCCTCATGAATTATTATATGGTTATAAACCTAATATCCCTAATTCTCTATATGAAACGAACAATAATACCACTTATAATGAATATATTCGAGCTTTACAATATCGAATGCGTTTTAGTAGAGAAAAGGCCATTCAAAATATAATTAATAGCAAAGAAAAATCCAAACAATATTACGATGTAAGTTCACGCGAAATTTCTTATAAAATTGGTGACTTAGTTTACATAAAACACCATCACCGACTCCGTAAGGCCCTATCACCTATATGGAAAGGTCCATATAAAATTATAAAAGTCCATAATAAGCACAACGTTACTTTACAAGTAGGTCGTAAACATGTTAAGTATCATATAAACGAGATTAAGCCTGCTATTAACACTCCTTAAATTTAACTTATTTTATATATTTTTCAGAGCTTTATGCTATGGAAGCCAAAGCCACGCTGAGTCGAGGATCATACCTATATCACATAGTCCTGGAATTTATTTTGAACCTATTATGCATATTAACTTTTATAACGATTATTGGAAGGTTATAACACATATAGACCTTATAACTTTAGCTCCTTATCTCAATAAAATTGAAAATTTATTATATGATACCTTAAACCTTTGTTCCAAAATAAATACTGACGAATTTTCCCAATGTAAAGATTTTTCAAATCCTATAGAGATTTTAATAAAATATAGTTACGTCAAATTGCAATCCCTAGCACATATAATCAATAATAATCAATCGCCAAATAGAGTTAAAAGATCTCTAGAATTTGGAGGCGAAATTCTTAAATTTTTCTTCGGTACTCTAGACGCAGATGATGCGCGAAAATATGATGCCGCGATAGAATTATGTCGGAAAAGTGAAACAGAACTATTTAATTTATTCAGAGACAATATTCACATAATTAAATCTACCATAAATAGTTTTAATGCCACTATTTATAAATTAAACCAAAATGAATTAAGATTAAACTCACAAATTAATAAAATGAATGAAATTCTTTCGCAAATCACAAAAACCGATAATTTACTTATTAATATTTCTAGAATAAATAATTTATTGAACATAATTGAAAGCTCCTTACTTGCTATTTCTAACTTGCTAGACACGACTATAAATGCTATCCTATTTTCCAAGGTAAATGTTGTGCATCCTAGCGTGATTAGCCCTTTAAGTCTTTATAATGAATTATCAATCAAATAAATAAACGTTTAGATTTTCCAGTGCAATTGAACATACATAATATTCATTCGTTAATTGATGTTTCGAAACTTAGTTCATATTATTATAACAATAAGATTGTTTTCAGCTTGCAGATTCCATTAATAACACCTGATAAATTCATTGTTTATAAAAATATTCCATTACCGACTCCTCACGACGAGTCGCATATACAAACGTTTGCACTTATTCAACCTTCTAATTCTTATATTGCTTTAAGTGACGATAGAATACATTATACTATGTTTAATAACTTAGATGATTGTAAATTTATTAATAATAACTATTCTATTTGTGAACTATTTACTATAACGTCTAGCATAAATAATCCTAATTGTGAATCGAAATTATTAACAGAAGTAACTCTTTCCTTACCTTCTGAATGTAACTCCAAGTTATTATTTGGCCAAATCAATATTTGGCATAAATTAAAAAATAATAAATGGATATATGTACAATCCAATGTAAATAAATTAACTATCAAATGTAACGATGATATTACTGATCATTCTATTATTGGCACAGGTATTGTCAAATTAACCGAAAATTGTATCGGTTATTCCAAAACTATTCAATTATTGCCAACAAGTACTTATCAATTTTCGATTAAGTCAACTATAGATATAAGCTTTGACATAACAAGAGATGATTGTTGCAAAAAAGATGTATTTAATAAAAGTTTACCATATTTAACGCCAATCTCTCTAAGCAAAGTTAACTTGGATTCCTTAAAATATGCAAATCATCAGCTAGATAGTTTAGAATATGAATTAAATAATCTTCAAAAGGAATCACATTTTATAAAATACGGTTCATACTATTCCACATTTACTTATATTTTAATTGTATTACTATTTTTGTACTTAGCCTACAAATTATTTAAATGTTCCAGAAATCGACACAATAATAGTGGACATTGTATACAAATATTTAATCAGTGTAATAATAAAAAGTCGTCGAAACATAATTCTAAAACTACAAATTCAATTGAGATGATTGATATGTCAACATCTGAAGAAGATAATAACTCACCCAAATCTTTACCAAATTGTACTAATTGTGAACCTTATAGAACTGTACACAAAGTTCACTCTTCCTCCGGAAGAAATCTTAATTTCTAATTTTATTCAATTTTAGTTTTCAAAAATATTTGTATTAAAACAAATAATTAATTTTATTATCATACAATTTCAATTTCTACTTTGTCATTTTATATTTTGTAATTGCTACATTTTACTATTTTTGATTCAATCTAATTGTAATAAGTATATTTTAATTTTAAATGTGTATTGTTATTTAATTATATACAATGTTAAAATGAAAATTGTAATTGAAACTACTATTTTGTTTATTAAAAATCAATTTCTACTCGTAATTCTACTAATTCATTTAAAATACTTTTAATTCCAGATTTTACTATTTTACCTTTATATAAATTCATTGTTCTATTTTATATTGATTATTTGTTAAATCTTACTCTGTTTCTTTTACATAACTTAGTTACAACTTACTTTATCTTTATGTAAAATCAAATAGTTCGAAGTTTTATATTGTTATAAGATAAATTTTCTATGTTTTACTATAAATTTAATTTTCTATTTCTATATTTTGTAACGCCTTCCGACCTCTAACTATTTCTCTATTTCGAAACTTCGCTTTATCTTAATTTAGAAAAAGCTCAGTCAAAAGGGGGGAGCTGTTATATCCCTTTTTACAACGCAGTTAAATCTTAGTAAGCATTTATTCAATCCCACGGTACTTTTCCTATATATGACGTCAATCAGTAATTGCATTGTTCTTTTCCATATTAATTTCATTCCATTTTACTGTCAGTTAGATTCAGAGCCCCGGGTAGATCGGACATAGATTCCGATACGTATTAGAGTTCGGAAGTCAGGGTTAATATTAATTGTGTGTGTAAACTTTTTATAATAAACCCTTAGGTTTACCTTGTGGTTTTTTTTTTAAAAGTCAAACGGGATCGGCCTCCTAACAGTGCGTATGTATTAAGTAGAAAATTATATAAAATAAATATACCACAATACGACGTAATATTTTTTTTATAACAATGTTAACAAGTATTGTTCCGTATCATCATATGACTTATTTAGCAGGAAAAAACGGACAGCAGTTTTACAATTAAATGTTGACATTTCATAAATCTCTATTTTCGCATTCATTTTGTTATAAAGTAAAGGACCTAAGTAGTAAAAAAATCTTTTTATAAATGAAAAATTGACTAGAGGAAGTGTGCATACTTTGTCTTTACGACGTTTTGTAATTTCAATGTAAGGAGTCTTAATATGCTGGAGTAATACTGTGTGCAGTATAAAGAGCTGCCTCACACTAAGAACAGCGCAATTTTGATATAGTTGAATAGTTGGAAATAACATTGGTTTAAAAGTAGCAACCTTTAAGATAGCTCTTTGCGCAACTTCAAGTGGTTTTAATATTGTTCTTGCAACACCACCCCAGCAAGAAATGCAATACGTGATTATAGACTGACATAAAGCGTAATAAACGTTGCGTATAATTACCGAGTTGGCGACATATCGGAGTGTTTTAAAAACATATATTAATTTGCGAACCTTACATGTTAAGAGA